CGTTCCCCGTGTAGGTGGTATAACAACTTTCCCTTGCATGGGTACGGCATCTGTAGGCAGAGCCTGGAGGAGGCCACGGCCTGCTTTGCTGCTCCGTGTCATTTCTCAGCTCGGCTGTGCAGGTTGGGGTTGTAGGTCTGGGGCCGTGTTCGCTTGATCACAAGTAGTCAAGTTCCTTTGAAAAAATCCACGATAAAAAAAATGTAACTGCGGCTTGTCACTAGTGTTTTCAGGCAATAAATATTTCTCATGCAGAATGTTGGGTTGGTGCGCTCGGTTGGGTGGGTGGGCTCGGTTGAGTTGCAATGGGGTGGTGAGGGTAGAGTTGCTGCTCCAAAGCTTGCAGGATGGAGTGGAAAGTACTGAGGACTTGTATTTAGGGCTCTTGTGTGACATTTTTTGGGGGGAAAACCCACCAAAGCTATAACCTTCAAGGCTGAGCGCTTGGTGGAGTGGTGTCCAGGTAATGTAAAAGAAGCCGATGGCTGGGGAGGGAAAACAAGTCATAAATGTAGAAGAGTTGTTTGGTTTTCTCCTTTTGTTCCTTTGATTGTCTGTTTCTCATGCAACAACAGCAAAAGAGATCGATTCTTCAGGTTGCATTCAGCCAAGAAAAACCTACCAACATCTCAGCTGTGGAGATGAAGGTCTCCTGGACTGCCCAGTGGCCAACCTCAGTCTGGTTACAACAGCAAACGCAGGTCACTGACCTGAACCTGGAGCTGGAAAGCTGCTTCTGCTTCTTCTATCCCCCCTCCTGGAAATAGCGTTGCTGTTAGGGGGATTGGGGTTTCAGGGCCACGCGGGGTGTTCCTGCCCCGCACGGAGGCTGCCAGACAGTCACGTGGCTGAAGAAAGGGGCTCTGCTTGGAGGGAGTTTTGGCTACGTGAACCAAACGCTTTGTGTGTCGTTGCTAAACGTAACGTTAGCTACAACCAGACGTTTGGTTTCTTACCTCTTTTTTTTTTTTTTTTTTTTAATCGTCACGTTTAGCAGAGAGTCGAGATTGATAGTCTTGTATAATAGAGGCAATTTTACAGAATAATACAAAAATGCACTTGCTTTCATGTAAACCACACCAAAAGGTAAGGGGATTTTTTTTATTTGATTTTTGTCCCTTGAGGGCTTTTCGCCTCCCCCGTAGCCCCAGGTCCCTCCGTTTCCAGAGGGCACGCTGGAGTGTCGCCTGTGCTTTGATGTGGTTTCTAAAGTGTGCCTCTTCACGTGGCTCCCTACAGATGCCTTTATGTGAAACAGAACATTAAAATCCAAATGTGCCTGATCTTCAGGTCATTTTTCATCCTTTATGTACGACATCAAATATATTACAGAGTTGTTCTGCTGCACCCCCAGCCCGGGAAGGTGCGGGTAACGAGGTGGGGGCAGGAGTGGGGAGTTCCTTGGCGGTTAAGCCCAAATTTCTCTTTAGTTGCTTCCTCTGGGCCTCTCCCCAGCTCTCTTTTTCTCTCAAGGTGAAACTGAAACCTCGGTGACTTCACCCAATCCTGCCAAAGTTAAAGAAAATTTGATATTTCTCACTTATAGGTCACTTCAGTCCAGATTGTTTCCTGCCAAGAGTGGGGGCAGGGGAAATGCCCTCCTGTTAATGGAAAAGCAATTACTATTATTTCTGGCGTGTACGTTGTGTCGTTCCAGCGTAACACCTAGATTATGGTCTCAGCTCGTATCACGCCGACTCCTCGGGCTCCCAGCTGGCTGGTGATGGGCTGCGCCCGTCGTACGGCGGGGCGGGGCGGGGGTTACGTGCTGTGATGTGCACGGGAGGGAATAAACATCAACTGGGTTACTCTGGGGCTGTTTGGCGGTCTTTAAGGTAGAAATCTCTGGAAAAATCTCATCTCAGAACTTCCCACCCTAGTTCCTAAAGGTACGAATTGCTCTTGGTAAGCTGTGAAGCTTTTGTGCCATTGGGAGCATCTCTGGCTGCTTTTTGTGGATCTTTAGGAGGTGAAACATCCATCTTTTTCCTTTTTTTTAATATTTCTCAGTCGGTCCCTGAATTTCTAATTCAGGTCAGAATTTTTCTCATGATACGCTTTGTTTTTTTTGCATTTAAAGTGTGCAAAATGCGGTGTTTGAATTTGGATGTCCAACCCCTTGGCCTAGAGCGATGACTTTATCTAGAAAGTCAGACTTCCTTGACTTTGGGGTTTTATCAATACCAGTGTTTCTCAGGTCTTGTCAATATTTGATTTGGACCTCAGCAATGTTGACACGTGGCCAGTGGATGTTTTGTACCACTGTGCTTCTCCAGGGAGCGTAGCTGAAGCTGAAGGATGAGATTAATACTTCTAGTTTGAAAAGAGATGGGGGAGCAAGAGAACGTGTCTTCTGAGACCGTGTCCACAGGGTCCTCTGGTGAGACTAATTCTGTGTTCAGCCTAAAATGCTGAATGTTACACGCTTAGGGCTTCAGCAGTGAAGTTCAGAGCTGGCGGCAGCATCCTTCAGCTTGTTAGCCCGGATTTTTCCTCTCCCATGACCACTTTTTCTGCTGTGATCTTGCTACGCCCTGTTTAATGATCCATTTCAAGCACAATGTTTTATCCCGAACTTTGCATTTTCCCATTCTTTGATTTCTTCTCTTTCTAGAGGAAAAAAGATTACATAAATTTGAGAGATTTTAATGAGTACACTGGGCTTGCTTTTGGTGTAATTTACAGTGGATTCAGTGTTATAACTTCATTACGCTTCAGTTGAGAAACTTATGTCATAAATGGGCGTATCATAGAGTGGAATCAAGCCTCGAATCTCTTTGTTGTGTGGGCTTCAGAAGGACCAAACGCTCACTCCCCTTTTTGAAGTCCTAATTCTCTTTATATGATGTTGCAATGTCTTTCTATAGAGTTGTGCCTCTGAAGTTCAAGATTTCTAATGCAAAAAATACTACTTTCCCCCCAATTGCTTCAAGTATTGATGTTGCTAGAAAAATTTGTCTTCAGCAGTGTTCACACAGACCTTTTCCTGTGGCTTTGTTGCAAAAATCCCTATTGTTGAGACTGATCCCTTAAGAGGTCTTTTTAATAGGCTTGGTTGGTCGTCCCCTTGCTCAGCTGTTACTCCTCTTGTAGGAGCACTTACAGTAAACATCAAGGATACTACTTCTTTCCAACCACTAGAGGTCAAGATTGTGCTATGGCACAGCACAGGGCTGCTCATCGTGTAAGGTTTAGCTGTAACTCCTGGTGCAACCACGTCTAGTGTCTGCGATACATATTTAATTTTATTATCAATTGCCATTTTCATTAATTAAGACAAAGCCGATTGTACGTGCACGGTGCGAAGGGCACTTTGCCTTAGACAGCGGTAGAGCCCGGTGGATTTTGTAAGGGTTGGGATATCTGTGCCGTGCTTGGGTTTTAATATTCTTCAGATCTAGAAACTACACAAGTGATCGGTCTCTGATGGAGTCTTTCTTCCCAAGGAGGGATTCAAAAGGGAGTTGAGCTGAGAGAGGCTGTCAAAATAAAACTCGCTCATGAATTATTTTTGTGTGATATTAATACTTTTAAGTGTTTAAAAGGAAATAATTTTGAAGGTTTGCACTCTGGATAGAGCTTTCTACTTTCTGCAGTTCAGGTAGCAAAAGTAAGTAGTGTGTTGGGTGGTTTTTCTTTTTTTTTTTTTTTCATAGATTCCACGTGTTTTACTTCATTGTTTTCCTAGCACAGATGGTTTCACTGACAACAGTATCTACAATACAATTTCTACAATTCCTTCTTCCTTCCAAAGCCAGGCTGGCACGGTAGCCTGGGGTGGGGGACCGTCCCCTTTAGCCACTTTTTTTGTCTCCTGTTGTAGGGGAGCAGTGAAATAGCCGGGTATTCAGGTTGTGCAGGTAATTGCTAGAAATAAGAGTTTATATTAATAACTGAAATATATAAAAACCTCATTCTTTTTTAAAAAGAAACCTACCATCTAAAATAACATTTTCAGAAAGACATCTGGATGATTTCCATACACCTTTCTTCTCGTGTATAAAAATTTTATAGAAAAATGTGGGAGGGATCCTATAAATCTGTGTGTATATATGCATATAAATTTCAGGCTTTGAGAGTGTTTAGTTTCTAGTCACACCAGAGCAGAAGCCCACATGTGCAGAACCCTCCACATCCCTTGGCTTGGCCTTTTTCCCCCTCGTTTTGCCCACGGTTTGGTATTTGCAGTGAGACCAGTGTCTCTGTGCTGCTCCCTCTCCTTGCCTTTCCCATTCAGTTTGAAATTCTTGGTCAACTCCCTTGAACAATTAGGGCTAAACCATCTTTTTCCTGTCAGATATCATGCTCGGTACCATGAGGAAACTAAACGTGGTTTTTTGCTTTGACTCTGCTGCCAACAGACCCCAAACCCCGGGAACAGGTATCAATAAGTGGATCGAGGGAGCTCCACCGAGTCGTGTGTTTTGCTCCCTGGATCACGGTGCTTCTCCCAGTGAGCAATTTTTTTTTTTTTGTTCAATACCTTTTACAGCTCATTCTGTACATCAGCAACGTCCAATTAAGCTCTCCTGGGGTACCACAAAAATGCTTTCAGGAACCTCTGGGGTCCAGATGTGGAATGTTTTGTGCTGACATGGGTTGAAAAGAGGAACAAATCCAACGGTTAAGTACGTCCTTTAATTTAGCCTGTGACAGTCACCACATGGCCTATGGGCTAATATTTCTGCATCTGTGCTGTAAATAGATCAATATGGCAGTATGATGGGTTTGGCATTTTGATTTGTGAAGAGTCAGAATATTGTTTGTATTGTTGCATAATCCCTGGAATGGTTTTCAAATGAATCTTTGGCTTCTTTGGAATATCTGGGTTAGGAAAAACATAACGTTTCTAAGTTCCATTAAGTGTGTGTTTTATTTTGTCTCATTTGTCATATTTCATGACCGATTGCATCTTTTGGCTGGAAAAAGACAAAAAGAATAATTGGAGGACGCTGTTCTAAAAGGTGAAATCTGCTTTTTTTTTTTTTTTTCCTAGGCACAGCAGCAAAGAAACCTGGACAATATTGTATCACAACATCCCAGGATAAGCGGGGGGAAGAAATCCAAGAAAGAAGTCTGCGCAAGCTCAGATCTGGAGGTAAAAAACACTAGCCCCATGTCTGAGCAAGATTCGGGTATCCTGGATGTTGAAGATGAGGATGAGGATGAAGAGGTAACTGTATAACATCAAATCCAGGAGATGGGGCGCTTTGGGGGTGACGAGTGGTGGCTCAAACGGTGTTTGCACCTCGTGCAGCCTTTGGCATTGCTGCTCAGCGTGTGGTGGAGATGCAGGACGGGCTGGAGGACGTGGGGTGTGCTGCAGTATTGGGTTATTTTACCCTCTTGTCCCTGTTCTCGTTAGCAAGCTCAGCAGAGGGGCCGAGTAGCGTTTTGAGAACCAAGCAGCCTATGTCTTCTGTCCCCCAGCTCCAAGGTTGCGCTTCGGGGCGCGCTTGGGCAGGCGGTTTGGTATCTGGCTTTCATTTAAAAAGAGATGAATCGCTGCACAGTGCACGAGAGACTTGGCCTTTTTGTGGGATGTGTGTCTGGGTGGCAGAGACGTACTTTGTGTCGAAAAGGATCGCATCGCACTTAAATGCAATTTTAACTCCTCGATGTGCTCCCTTCTTTTTGTCTCTCTTTCTGCTGCTGCTTCCACAGACCTGTTGTGGTTTGTTTTTTTTTTGTTAACCACGAAGCGTAACCTCGCTGATTGTGCCGGTTGTTCTTCCCTCCCTGTGCCAGATAGTACATGAGGTGGGATATCTTGGATTTGTGGTGCTTAAAATGCAAGAGAGGCCTGTCCCTCTGCATTTCAGGAAGGGCAGCTTGGAGATACCTTCGTGGAGTGCAGGTCCTGAGGTCTTGAGCTTGTTGGTGTGTTCTTCATTTCTTGTGATGCGCTCTTTTGGCAAGTATTATCTGCCACGTTGGATGCTTCTTCTCTTCTTGCTGAAGCCTCTCTTACATCAAGAGAATGATATTTTCAGTGACAACCTGTAACTGAATTGGGAAGTTTTTGTTGCCCTCAACTTGACAGTCACTGACTCGCCAAAGAAAATGAAGAACAAGTTTCTGAAGTTTAAAATGTGGGTTGCTCAGGTGGTTCTGTGCTCGTGTTCTGCCTCTTTCCCCACAGTTCAATTCTCTCTTCCTCACCTCTGTTGCACTTCCAGAGCAGACCAAGGAGAATCACCACTTGCTTTGCAGGGACCAAACTGTGGGGTACGACCCAGAGCCCCCCCCCTGCACTGAAACCCTCTGGGTGGGCTATTTCCAGCAGCATGGAAACAGAGCAGAAGTTAAACAAAAGAAAAATCAGTGAGAATGGCATGTTTCTTGAAAACAAGCTTTGATTTGAATAGATCTATTTTGGTGTTTTCCCTGTTAAAATATAAAAATCTGGTCCTTCGGTAGTTCTTGTTCAATCTCACTCTAAAAATCTCTCACTTGCTGTGGAGTCGGTTCTTGCCAACCCAGGCGGCAGTGTGAAACATGGTGGTACCTGTGTTCTCTGCAGAGTTGGAGTCAGTTAGCATTAGAAATGAGAATTTCATGTAAATTAGAATCGAAAGGTATAGGGAAAAATATAAGGAAAATATTCAGAAGGGTAGAATTTAAAGTCAGTAATTTGTAGAGCGCAGTTGGGAGAAATCTAATTGCATCCATCAGACTGATTTAACTCTTCTGGAGGCAGATGAAATCCCATCTCTGGGTGCGTTTAGGGCCGGGCTGGTAGTGAGGGAATGAACTTGCAGGAGGGGTGATGGGCTGAGCTGGACAGGCAGAGGAGGCAGGGTGGGCAGGGTGTGCAGGGCAGGGTGAGCAGTGCGGGCAGTGCGGCCAGGGCAGTGTGGGCAGGGGAGGGCAGTGCGGGGAGGGCAGGGTGAGCAGAGCAGTGCGGGCAGGGTGAGCAGTGCGGGCAGGGGAGGGCAGTGCGGGCAGGGCAGTGCGGGCAGGG